AATTATGTTTTTACTCCTGAAAAGTAAATTCTTGTATAACTTTCAATATTCCAGAAGAATATTGATATATTGCTTTTAAATAAGTAATAATAAAACATGACATGCCCTTAAGGTAGCACACATTTTGAAGAATTATATCTCGTTGTGTTATTAAAAAAACACAAATAATTCAATATTGGCTGTAATTTTTAAAAGGAAAACAATTTTCGTATTTTATTAATATTCGAGAAGAATATTGATTTATCGCTCTAGAAGAACATACTATTTGGTATTTCAATATTCTCAAAGAATGATATGCTATTACAGAGCACGTTGTTATAATTTCAATATTTTTAAGAAAAATATTGATATATTGTTCAAAAAGAAGTAAAAATAATATATACTAATATTCTTGAAAAATACGGTATTGTGTTCCTAAAGAAACACAAATTTATGCATATTAATATTTTAGAAAAAAGTTATGATTAATTTAAATGTGTCAATATTCCTGAAGAATATTATTCTATCACTTGTAAATAATCATAACTAGGTATATATCAATATTTTAGAAAAATATTTATGTATTGTTCTTGAAAAAGCAATAATTAATGTTAATGTACTCTCGAAGTAACACATTTTAAAAGAATATATAATTTTGAATTTGTATTTATCCCTGGAGGAAAACATACGACTTATGTCACGTGAACATTGATCATTATATGATTACATAATATTTAATCATATTTTTCAAAATTAAATAATTAGATTATATCTTATATTGAGAAGTTCAATTTGATTACCATGATCAGTTGAAGCATCACTGGATCAACAATGATGCGAAATCAAAATGAAGAACTAAAAGATTATTCAATCCAATAAATTTCTATGTATCATTTGTCCTCATTATCGACAATTGATCATTAAATGCCACTAGCTAAAATTGAGATTGAATTTCCTATATATCTAAAATTAATTAGGGTGATATATGAGGCCCCATCACCCACCACGTTGATCATCTAAATATTAATTATATATAAAAAAATTTGATACAAATACTAGGTGATTTCATGGCATTCGCAACTTGAAGTTTGCGAAATTATTGCTCAAATTTTAAAGTATGAGCATAATTTTCAGATTAAATAATTGAAATCGTGTCTTGTTAATGCTAGTGGGTATAAATCTCAATATTTTAATGAGTGCTTTTTGAGATGTCGATAAATGATTTAATAAACTTGTTTGTTAAATGCCTCCAATCAATTTAATTGAGAAAAATATATTTCCCATTTCCGTTTAGGGAATGTTATTACGTATTTTGTCAATATCACAGTTCTCCCTATTAAAATTGGCTTATAGTCAGAGCCTAAATTTTCCATCTAATTATTTTGATAGTGCAGTATGTATAAAATTGATCCATTACAATGCATTGAGATGGAAAGTAATGAATACTAGGAATAAATGCGCAGTATGAACCCTTATTACAAATGGTGATATTTTATAATGCAGTAAAAATATTTGTCAATTTAATTTGACAATTATCTCAGCATTAGGGGGAAGAATTAAAATGTTGAAAATAATGTATAAATGCATTATTATCTAAATCCTCACAAAAGATCACTCAAACCAGAAGTTAGAAATATAATTTATTTAGATACATTTACTAATCAAATGGATCAATAATATCTTACAAATTAGCTTCAAATGCTCCAACTTGAATTAACGTCATAGAGGATAATTAGTTAATATGATATTAGATGGTACGCCTAAAGCGTGATGATATTCGATTTTAATACAAAAAATCTCAAAATGGAGCAATTAGCAAAAATGGTCTCATTGAGGAGGCATACACTCTTATGAGATTTAGACATAACGGATTATAAAATCCCAGAAGAGGTTCAAGTACCTGATATATTGAAAATTGAGATATCTCAATAAGTTATGTCATCATGGAGAAAGAAATAAAATTGAACGAGAAAAGAAAAGATTGTCAACAACAATTTTATACATGATGTGCTGCATCATATAGCGAGGAATCGAAATAAATTTGTTGAAATATATCGATTGAAATAATGATTGACCAAATAAAATGGATGAGATCCTAGTAAAATTGAACTTACTAGAGAAATCTGAAATTTTTGGATATACACTTCAAACACCGAGAGGTGTATACTTGTACAAAATGAAAATAGAAAAAGTAAAGTCGTAATGTGAAATGTACGACTTTTTACATAATGAATTTCGCGAACACTTGTAAAAATAGATTAGTTATCATGTGGTGGATGTAAATATAGGTATTTACCTTGTTAGTGTGATAATGCATGAAATTTGATGTGCCTGAAATAAATGTGATTATAGATAATTCATCTTCTATTGTTTTGATACCATTCTGAAATGATTGAATATGCCTGAAGTATAATTCAAGTGATATTATCATGAGGGGGAGTAAATACGCATTGTACTCTTTTTTCCTTGACCAAGATTTTATCCCATTAGGTTTTTTTGGCAAGATTTTTAATGAGGCAATTTTTATAGCGTATTCAAAAGAATAGTGCACTCTTTTTTCCTTCATTAGGATTTTTTCCCACAAGCTTTTTCCTAATGAGGGGATTTCGTTATTAGATTGGCTGTTATAAGTTTGTAAGGATATCCAAACATACGAAACACCATTCCAATTCTAATCCATCAAAGAACATAATTATCAAGGGTAGGGGAGGAGGACTTAAACAGGTTTAACAGTGGAACGTATACTCACCAAAGAAATTTGACCATAATAACGATCAATTTAAAGCTTGGATAGTACGTTGATTTTTTGAAAAACACAATAGGAATCTGATGTTTCATTTTTTAAATCTTCCTAGGTAAAACAAATTAAACATACCATAGGCTTCAATTTTTGTTGAACACGATTTTTCTATCAATAAGTCTATCTCAAATAACACATCATAAACGATTAAATATAAGCTACACAAGAAAGATTTTAAAAAACAAATATCTAAAACAAAAAATAAAAGCTAGATGTCAGTTCCTGAACATGAGAAAAAATTTCAAAAAAGTAGATCTTGATATAATGGAATGAATCAAAAATCAAGAATACACAATTCATTAATCTACAGAATAAACAATTTATTTGAAACAATCGACTAAAAAGTATAATGAAACAATGACCGGAAGAAAACATAAGTAAGAACTCGACGAACAAATGACAGTTGTGGCTTACAATCGAAAAAATACACAATCACCCCATCGAAATTGCACTTCATTTTCTCGGAAGAAATCAATTCTTGAACTTGAGGAAAAAAATCAATATCAAATTTTTATACAGCGAAATAAATAAAAATCAAGAGCTCATAACTCATTAATCTACAAAAGACACAATTTATTCTAAAGAAATCAACTGAAAAAAATAATAAAAATAGACGAAGCAAAAATCGAAAAAAGGTAGAGGCAAAAACTCAAAGAAGACAGCGCATAACATCGACAGATGTACCTACTATCTCTAATGGTTTAAGAAAGATCCAAGAGAAAAATGAAATTGCCAAAGAAGAGAAGCGAGAAGAGCAATGGCGCCAAGGTTAGAGAGAGAAAAATAACCTAGGATTTTCACTTTTGTGATATTTATACGCCCTGAAAAGGTGTCGTTTTCTTCACAAATGACCAAAACGAGGTCATGTTGGACGGAAATGTGAACAGTACATATTGGATTCACACTTATTAGTTCGTAAGTATACTAAAGATGGATAGGGTCATTAGGAGCTGGACAGACCAAATTTCAAACTTAGGCAAACATGGTACAAGTTCTAGTACTCGGGCAAGGCAAGATACATTTTAGGGAAAATTGCAGTCGAGGTATCAAACCTTTCGTTTATTAGCAGATTTTGCCCAAACCTTTCATTTGTGCCACTGAAGGTACCAAACCTTTCAAAAATCCGCACCTAAAGTCCAAATGGATGGAAACCGTCCATTTGATCGTCAGTTGACCAATAAAATTAAATATTGACTAATTTTTGACAAATCGAAAAGGGTAAAAAGGTAAAAGTTACTTAACCCTATAATAAAACAATTAAAATATATAACTAAAACATAAAAAAAATACTATTCATCTCCTTCTTCACCCACCCCACCCCCACCTGCACGCCACCCTACCCCCACCCCATCCAAAACCAAAAATATAAATTAAACAGTCGCCTTCTTCTTCAACCCCCACCCCACCCCACCATCAACATCGAAAAAGAAAGTCCAATTTGCAGAAAAACGATGGCGGTGGAGGCAGTCATTCACTATCAAGAACTGGTTGTAATAATACCCATCGTACTCGACTTGAGCTCTTATGTCCTGTAAAGTCACCCGGCCAGCTCTTATCCACGGCTCTAGCGCCGTCCTCACCTCAGCCGACACTCCTCCGACGTCGTGCAACACGAAATGCAAGCTGGGTCCGAAGAACCAGGCGTGATAGGCCATCCATTCCCTTACTCTAGCAGCATTCAAGTTCCCGTACAAAGAAGACCCGCAGTATAAATACTCGTATTTATAGGGTGGGCTGTACTAGGACTCGTCGTACGACCCTGGTGCCGAAGTGAGAAATGCTAGTTATGATTTGGCTATATGGAAAACTATACATTGAGAAGTGAATGTATTTTGGATAGTATAAACTTCCATATTTGTTTACCTTTTCTGTGTTTGTGTTTGGGTTTGGGTTTGGGTGGGTGGGGTGGGTGAAGAAGGAGATGAATAGTATTTATTTATTTATTTTAATTGTTTTATTATAGGGTTAAATAACTTTTACCTTTTTACCCTTTTAAGTTGATCAAAAATTGGTCAAAATTCAATTTTATTGGTCAACTAGCAGTCAAACGGACGGTTTCCATCCATTTGAACCCCCGGTGCATATTTTTGAAAAGTTTGAAATTATGATTGGCACAAAATAAAAGTTTAAACAAAGTCTACTAATAAAAAAAAATTTGATACCTCGAATGTAATTTTCCCTACATTTTAATGTGGCGCCACGCACTCAGTCTCATCTACCAACAAACCAACTGTACCTTTCCCTTTCTCCGCACTTCAAAGTATATCTCCGCTACTTTCTATTTCCATTTCCGTTTTGGGTATGCCTAAATTTCATGTTTCTTTCACTTTAAGCCCTTAAATTCGTTTCTTTGATGTCATATAGTTCTATTCTAATATCAGAATCATCTGGGTATTGGATTGTAAATATTTTCCGTAAATTATATGTCTCAGATCAACAGGGAAAAAAATTGATCAATGTGTAGTTTCTTTGTGGAAGGTTTTCTTTGATATATATAGAGCTAGGAAGTGGTGATTTTATGGGTGTTAAAAATTAAAATTGTCTGGTTTATGCTACAATAGTATGTCTGAGCAGTACTGGAATGCAAGCGCGAGTGCAAGCGCAAGCTCGAGCTCGAGTCTGAATAGCAGTTCTCATGATACAGAGGATGATCATACGATCGCTGCAATATTGGCAGAAGAAGAGAGATTGAGATATGATGGCAAACTTGGCAAGAGGCTTTCTCATTTGGACTCAATCCCGGTAAATATATTATCTATACAATGCATAATCTCGTTTTCTATTTAATGAAATTGTACATTCATTTGGAGAACATGACCTTGCTTTTGTTGTCAATGACAATAATTGAAATAATATTTTCCTATGTTAAAATATATCTTTCAGAATTATCATTATGTAGCAATTAAGAGTTTTTCTTATCTTTGATTAACCAAGATAGTATCAAAATGATTTAGAGTTCCAGTTTGTAGAAATATTATCTGAATTTTATGTACACTTACAAGTTCACGGTATTAGCAGCATACCCCTCGAGTAATTGGGGATATACCAGATGCCAATGATGCTACCCTAGACCATGAGAGGCTTGCTGAGAGGTTATATTTCATCTTCTAACCTTTGTGTGCATTCTATTTCATTTCTTGCATTACTCTTGGTAACTTTGGACTGGAAAAAGTTACAAAAGGAACAAAAAGAAAATGGTTTGTCGTATTACTGCATATCAATGATAAATACACAAAACTGATGGTGTATTACTTCATTTCAATAATAGATACACAAAGATCAACTGATAATATCAATTATGTTTTCGACTTTTTGGTTTTTTCCATGTAGCTTTCTAAGCCCTGGCATGGATTCCTAGAGTTCTTGGAATTAGTACTTTCATTCGCAAGGAAAACATGATATATGGAAAAAGTTTATTTCTTTGCCTTTCATATGGACACATATGGGATTGGGGTTTATGGCTCTGGGTGTGTGTGTACACAGGGGGTGAGGGCCTTAAACTTTGCTTTTCATTTAATGGTATATTTATGCGCACATTTTTGTGCTCGTCCATGTCAGGCTCTAGTAGTAATTATGAGCTAAATTCATCAAGATTTTTCTACGTGGACAATCTTAACATCTGTTGAGTCAGGATGGGAAGTGCGACAGGACCAGGTGATAATAAATGGCCTAATCGTTCCAAATCTTGGGAGATGAAGTTGGGGAAGAGGAATTGGCACTCTGGGACTTGTTGGTATCCACACTGGAGCTTATTGTACCAGATTTAATTTCATTTGACATTAGGGTTACCTAGAGCAAGTATTGTTTCGCAAAGACTGCTCATAACGATTAGTGACGAATTGCAATCCACTGGAATGGGTTTTCTTCAAATTCAATATGTAGTTTTCTGATCTGAAGAAAGTGAGCGAAGTGAAGTTTTCTGATTTTGTGGAAATGAATTTATAAGTATTATATGATAGACGAAAAGGATTTTTTTGAACATTAGAAGTAAAAATGACTTTACAGGGGAGAAATTGAACAAGAAAATGAAAATCAAATGTCAAGTATGAGATTTATGGTTGTGAATTTTCCAAGTTGCCAGAATAGTTCATCTGGATCACAAATTATATATAATGTGTTAGAGCAACACATTAAAATCTGGTAACTGTTGTTTGCCTTCTCTTACTGTCACCTCGACATATCCAATGGCCTGCTGCAGTGCTGCTGGTTTCTGTCAAGTGCTCTATAGTATTATCGTCTGCTTATAATGTTCTTACAACTCCAACTGGTGCAGTATATCGATTTTAAGTTTGCATTGACTTTTGTTGGAACAAAAAACTCCAAGTTCTAGCCATAGAAAGCATGCCATGATGGAATTTTTACTTTACAGTTGGCTGCTCCAATTTTTTTGAGCAAATAGCCAAATACTTGTTTTTATTGGTTACCAGAAAGGCCTTCCTCAATTTCGCTACTTATTTAGGTTGGCAACATACAAATTAGCTGAACTGCAAATTGAGGGAGATGGAAATTGCCAGGTAGGTCCCACTAAACCAGTCCGTCTTTCATTGTTAGATTTGTCTGAGTTGATGGCTTGTTGTTCCCCTTTCTCTTTGTCATTCTTGTTACTTGAGAATGAGGCTAAATAAATTAAATATTTTGTTTTATTATGTAATTATGAGACTGTCTTGAAATGCTTACCTTTATGCTGCCTATAAAGACAAGATTGTAGTATGGTTTTTTATCCTCTGATGAATGGCAATTGATTTATATATGGGCTCAATAACCTTGATTCATCTGCATCACTTTTCTTGGTGAATTCATACTAATTGCTTGACTTGCTGGACAGTTCCGAGCCCTTGCAGATCAGTTGCTTCAGCATCAGGATTATCACCAGTATGTAAGAAAGCACGTTGTCAAACAGGTGTAGTTTAGATAACTTTCTCTTTCATTCATTTTTTCCCATATAAATCCCTGTACCACTATTGATTACACTATAAAAACTCCTGTTTAATTTTTATTAGGTGTTTTTCAAAAAAATAATGCTTCCTATTATGTCCCTGTTTGGCCCCTATTATCTTTCTCATTCTTTTTCTCTTTCTTATTCTTAACTACACAATCTTTCATAAAATAATATTATAAGCAAATAAAAAACTTTTCATTTTTTTTCAACTACAAAATTTTCAAAAAATAACTATTCCAATAATTAAAATTTGTAAAAAATGGGGCCAAACGGGAGCTATATAGATAAACAGGTGCTCTGTTTCACAATTTTTTAGTTTGATTTGGTCAATGATCCTTTAATCTTATCCTTTACTACTTATTGTGAAATGTGTGGTTTTTTGGGTAATAGCATGTTTATTGGAATATTTCATTATGTTTTACGTTAAAGATTTTGTGGCCATGATTGTTAATTTGGTGTTTAACTATGATATATTTATTAAGCATCTCATCTAAAGCTTAAGAAGTTAGAGATGGGCCACTTGTATTCATATAAATCTTGTCTTCATCATGCCTCACATTGAGGAATGACATGGCTATTTCAATAGAAGCATCTAAAATAGGTATTTGACCCCTATTCATTTGAACTCTAACACATCTCTATTCTATTTCATAATAAAATTAATAGCATCATTCATTAGATTAATCCTTTTCATTTTCATTTTCTTGCGGGGTATGTTATTGCCATATTGATCTTTTCATTGTAGAACTTTTTCCTCTAAAGTTTCTTGGATTTAAAAACTGTTAGCTACGATTGGACGAAGATGTGTATAATCAGTGAAGTAATTACATTATGCATCTTTTCAAAGATTTTTTATTTTATTTTATATCATTGTTTCTGATTTATTTTCAGCTAAAAAGCCATAGAAATCTATATGAAGGTTATGTTCCTATGAAGTACAAAAGCTATGTGAAGAAGATGAAAAGGTCAATATTTGGGTTATCAGCTATTTTTCTCCTCTTATCATATTGTTTATGACCTTATCAAATTATTTTCTAATGATATGTTCTTATTTTCGCACTAGGTTGGGTGAGTGGGGAGATCATGTCACTCTACAAGCAGCTGCAGACCGAGTAAGTTGAATTTTATCATAAATGACTTTTGTAGTCTAAGCACTATGTTTCTATTTTGCCATATTTTTCTATTATTGGGTTTTTTTCAGTCATCTGGAAACCTTCAGGAATATCATTTAATGTAAGGATGTAAATAAGCCAAGAAGAAACTTGGCCACTAATTTTATTTTTTTTAATTGATTTCTTATAATTTTTAATTACATCAAGCTTGGTTTTGTTTTCAATCCAATCAAATAGGCAAGCTTTAGTAGCTCTTTTTCTCTCCTTTTCAATTTATCAAGTTGAACTAATTAACTTAACGACCTTACTTTTTTGAGCTGGATTTGATTATTTCAAAAATCAAACTTAAATTAACTTTCATTTAACCTGTGATCAGCAGGCTATAGCTTGATTTGTTTTGCATCTCAACCGATGGCATAAATTTTTTCAGGAATGGTAGAAACAAAAAAGAAATAGACATGCAGGTTTTCCGTGAAGTTTCCAGCATGTTTCTTGAGTATGCATTGATATGTTGCAATAATCACACCACAATCCATTTCTCCTATCATCTAACCTTTTAAAAGCATTTTGTCCACCTACAAATGCATTCTCAGGCGGGGTAGAAATCAAGATTAAACTTTTTATGTATTAATTTGTTATCTCCTCATCATAACACTTCTCATGCTTTCTTCCCTGCTAACATATGCGAACTCTCTGTGAAGAGAAGGAAGAAATTCTTTGCCAAGTATTATCCTCCTAATTTCATCTAATCCTGAATTGAGTCCTACAAGGCGTATTCAAGCATCTTATCAAATCCCCCCCCCCCCCAAGCCCAAAAAAAAACTCTTACAATTGTTTTCAAAAACAAACCTGAGAGTACTGTTGATACTAGTAGTAGTAGGAGCATTCTATTTAGTATGCATACATGAATTAGAGATTAGTACATTCGAAATGTATAAATGCATTCTGCACTAATACGTTTGATTTATATGATGAATACGATAGACTTGTAATTATATTTGAAGATCCCATATAGAGCATTTATTGTGGAATACTAATGTACTTAAATCTTCTTCAAGATTCATGTCACAAGTGTGATTAATTTCTAACAATTCATGCTACAGACCCTTTAACTCGCTGTAATCTGTAATCTCTCTTTGCCTTGTGTTTTAATCCCGCAAATTTGAGTTTTCCTCATCTGAGTAGATTCAAAATCTGCATCCATATCTCTTTCTTTGTTGATAAGAGGAGATATGTTCGGTCAATATTAGGTTCAATTGAGCTGATGAGTCCTGCCATAACTCTTGAATTCTTGGCTTCCATGTCTTAAAATCCAATTCATTCCCAGTTTTGGGTGCTTTTATGGACCCTGTAAGATCATGAAAATTCCCTTTTCCATGAAGAAATGTCTTCATGTATTGAGACCATTGTAGATCATTTTACCTATCTAACTTGGGAGTTCTGATATGAAGCTGTTGGGTTTTATGAACAGCTCGGAGAATTAACTCTTAAGGTTGTTCATATTTGTTCTTGGATTCTTCCTTTTACTCCCGGCTTTATCACTCAGGATCTTATATAGAAAAGTTAAAACTCTAGGATTGGAATGTACTGTGAAGGCATGAGTAGACCATGAAATTTTTTATGCATTGAATGAGAAAATAGAAAAAATAATATACATTAAGTGTAATTCAGGGTGAGTTATTGTAGTATCTAAAATATGTTACAACTATTCCTATTTTGAATCAGATACTGAAAAATAAAAGCATAACTAATCACGAGAGGTTTTATCCTAACAAATCTTCCTCAAGAAAAACACCCTAAAATTCCGTGTCTTTGAAACAACATTAATTAGTTGAAAGGAAAGGAAAGGCAACGAGATAAGCATATATTGATTTACAGTAACAACAAGAGACCTGCTGCCTGCATTGTGGATCATTCAGTTTCTCCTTCCTTCAAGTCTTTTGGGATGATATTGACATCTAGAAATTTTATGTATTCAAAATTAATGATTAAACCCAGTCTGGTGAGGACATGTGATTTCTGAAACCCAAGGCCCATCAATTCAGATTGCTTATTACAGTTTTCACTAACCAAATTGTGGCTTGACCACTTTTCAAGCAAAAGCATTTTACTGCATCAGATTTTTGTTTATTTTTATGATAATAGAATTTTCATTCTCTATTCTTTATCTTACTATGATACTTGATTTCCTTTTCCTGATTAATGTGTGACAACTATCCCTGTCCTGGTTCATAATTGATAATGACAATTAGCACAGTTAAAGCATACCCCATCATTAAAACCTGTGTGATTAATATTTGCAAGCGTAGAAATTGATGCAATCCTGCCTTCGGTGTGATATATATTCCATTAACTGTTTGTTTTACTTCAGTCTTGCTTTTGTCATTTGTTTCCTTTTCATCTTCTGGTATGTAAGTTAGCCATCTAATTTTATGAACTCCTTTGATGATGAAAATCAGTTCTTCTTTTTATATCTAAAACTCTTCTGCCAATGGTTCAAGAATTTGAGATGGACATGGTGACCCTTATTTGCTACAACGTTCTTTTATCTTCCGTAATGGTTCATATACATTTGCCTATTTTGGTCTATTAGGGTGACCCATGCTTGCTACAATATTCTTACATCCTTCATAATTGTTTTTATGCATGATTTTCTGTTTTGGTCGCTTACCACTGTTTATATTAAATAAATGATTTATAAGAGTGACGGGATCTCAGTAGAATATGTTAGAACATGACGTGTAAATCAAAACTAACATGTCTAGTTGTGGATTATAAGAATGTATTTTCTTTGGATATTTTGCTGAAAGTCTAGTACCAGATAACTTTTGAGATAAATAAAAGCTTTGGTTATGACATGAGGTTGGTGTTGGAGAACTTTTGAGAAATTGTTTGATGCTCATATTTCTAGAGTTGAGAAAGGTATTGATCAAGTCCCAAAGATTATTGACGTATCTAAAACTCATTTGCCAATCGTTCAAGAATTTGAGATGGACATGGTGACCCTAATTTGCTACAACGTTCTTTTATCTTCCGTAATGGTCCATATACATAATTTGCCTATTTTGGTCTATTATGGTGACTATGCTTGCTACAATATTCCTACATCCTTGATAATTGTTTTTATGCATGATTTTCTATTTTAGTCGCTTACCACTGTTATATTAAATAAATGATTTATAAGAGTGATGAGATCTCAGTAGAACATGTTAGAACACGTGTGTAAATCAAAACTAACATGTCCATTTGTGGATTAAAAGGATGTATTTTCTTTGGACATTTCGTTGAAGGTCCTTGCTTGATGACTTTTGAGATAAATAAAAGCTTTGGTTATGACATGAGGGTGGTGTGGGAGAACTTTTGAGAAATTGTTTGATGCTCATATTTCTAGAGTTGAGAAAGGTATTGGTCAAGTCCCAAAGATTATTGACGTTTCCTAGAGATATTGACTCAACTCTATGCTCTCAACAGAACTGTGCATTTTTTGTATCTCCTACTTTATTGGCACTACACTAATTCGTTGAAACTTGCTGTAGTTTGAAGCAAAAATTTGTTTAGTCACCTCGTTCCGAGACACCTGCTATATTGAAATCCTTCCCAGGGACAAAAGTCCCTCAAGAGGTACACATAATAGACTGCTTAATCTTGCTTTACATTGATGACTTTCTACTTCAATATATTTCCGTTTTCACTGATATTTTTGCTTATCTCGGATGTTGTGAAGAGTTATGGCTGAGCTTTTGGAGTGAAATCCACTATAACTCATTGTATCAAACCGGAGGTGACATATTTCATTATATATATATATATATATTTATTTTATTTTTATTTATTTTTTGGCATGCCTTGTTAAGTTTCTGGATGGACGGATGGATAATACTTGTTTGGCCTGATATTTTGACAGAGGTTCCTACAAGAAGACACAGGAAGAAGCATTGGCTTTTCTAAAGCAAATTTATTACTTTTCTTAAGATATTTTATCATGTAAATCCTTTTTAAAATTGGATTATTCTTTTCTGTATTTACTCTTTTATAGCTTACACTCTACTCGGCACAAATTCTTTTTGAAATGTGTACAATGGATTACTTTTTGATGCAACACCATGCTTGTCATGTCCCTTTTCTTGCTTGAATGAAAACCAATGTGTTTTGCGTCATTATACTGATGGATCTTCACTGAATCAATTGATAGGTTAAGTATTGGACTTATCGTTCTGTGCTATCTAAACATGATGTATGTTGAGAGGATTTCATATTTAGAACAGATGGTAGTCTTAATGCATTTTGTCAACTCTAATGTGAATGGGTGTATCTTATTTTGAAAAGCTTTCGAAGTAAGCTAAAGCTTCCCTTATTACCTCAGGAGTTTAGTTCAATTCTAAGATTCATCGTTTAAGTTGGTCTGTTTTTCATTAACTATAGTTAAAATTGATATCTTTAGATAATTGGAGTTGGAAGAGCTAAAAAAATGAAATGTTTACCGTTTTGCTTCTCAAAATTTGTTGTTAGATACTTCATATTCTTTATAACTTATTTTTCAAAATTTACTTTTCTTTCTTTTTTTGAAAAAAGAATTATCATAATGCCTAAAATAACTTATAATTGTTTGAGAATCAGAAGTTCAACTCTAAATAGTTCCAAATAGGGCATAATAGGCATTAATTCAATTCATCAATTACAATTTGTTGAACTTAAATGTGAATGCCACTTGTGAGAAGACCATCTTATCGAACATAAATTAAATGTTTCTGATATATTTACGAATTTTACCTTGCATTTATTTATGTTGATTGAGGATCACCTTATTTTATAAGAAATGTATCTTTTTGCTAGAGTATTTTGTTTGAAAATATATTTTGTATATCATTTTGGCGTGTCTAGCCATGATCATTTGTCTCGAAATTATAATAGTCAATGGATAAGCAACTGTCTAGATTTAAGATTTTAATTGGTTGTAATTATTTTTAAGAAAGGTTCAAATACCACGATTTTAAATTAGAATAGAGATTTAAGATGGCAATTTCTGCCTTTTTGCTTGAATTATTATTATTATTATTTATTTTTGGTAAAACTTCAATGATAAATGAGTAAAAATTACCTGAAAGATCAGTGACTAATGCTACTCAAACAAGGGCTTTGGACGGGGTTCACCTCAGCCCTTGTGAATTCCAGTTAAAATCATGTCCACTGCCCTATTTCAGTAGCATCTCTCAAGACCAATTTATAATTCCATACAAACTTTAGTGACCGTATATTAAATTGACTTAATAAATCCCATCATAGATGTCAACAAGCTAAAACTTGAAGACCAGACTCGACTCAAGTAAAAATAGTGTGAATTTTTTTTTTTATCTGAGTTGAAACGAACTTTTGCTCGACCAAAATATCTCAGCTTCACTCGAGCTTTTGACTTGGCCTTATCAAGTCGAGCAGATTTGTAATTTGTAATTTTTTATTTGTTTTTAAAAAAGGCAGCCTCAGCTCAATTCTATCAACTCGCGAATCGAGTTGGTTTGGGCTTTTCTTGGACTTAGCCTTCGAGTCAACGAGTCAAATCGACACCCTACCAATACAAACTTTTGTGTTAAGGCCTGTTTGCTAAATATTTTTGTAGAAGTGAGCGAAAATTGTGAAAGGTTCTTATTTTAGGATGCGAAGTCAAAGCTTAATAAAACAAAACACATCCATCTCTCTCCTCTCCACCGCTATCACTTGCCACCACTACCACACAAACAACGGCACACAGATTCCCTCATATATATAAAGACGCAGAAACTAGGATTCACGCACAGAGTATAGAGAGGTGACCTCTTTGTGTGGGTAGCTGTCGCTGTTTCAAAACCCTAATACCGCATATCAGGGTTCCTTTGTTGAATGTTAATTTTTTTTAGGTTTTTTATTTTTCAGTTATATTTGTAATTATGGAGAGATCCGAAGGCAAAGATGTCAAGGACTTCACCGACGCCGCCTCCAGCAGCTCCATAACTACTGGTTCGCAGCCCAATTTTAATCTTTATCTCCAAATTTTTTCTTCTCTATTTTGTCAATCTGCTTTGATCTCTTTTTCGCTTTTAGTCTGCAAAAAGTTTGTGGGTATTTTTAATTCCTGTTTTGTGTTTCTTAATTAATTTTTATATGATAAAGGAGATCACCTGTTACATTGGTAAAACTAATTATTTGGGCTTTGACCGTGGGATGCAGACAGCACGCTATTTGATGCATCACAGTACATGTTTTTCGGGAAAGATATAGCGGATGAAATCGAATTAGGGGGTTTGGAAGATGAAGAAGTTGGGGTTCTGGACCTTCCGGTGATTGGGGGCAGATTTGGTGGCGGAGATGATGAGCTGCAGGAGTATCATTTGTTTGACAAAGATGAGGTAATAATAAATGCATAGTATTGAGATGCTCTAATTTTAGAAGTTTCAGTAATGTATTTCCTTTGTAAAATTTTCTTGGTTCATTTATATATCTAAAATAAATACAAAGTCACAGGTGCTGAATGTTTTGACTAACAAATCTCTGAAATGCAGAGAATAGTTTTTATTTAAAGGTTCTTGCTGTTTATATAATAGTTGCATTCTCGCATCAATGAAGTTCCAACAATATGTACTGTATGGCGTATTAGATTATATTCTTGTTTTATGCTTAGAATACATAAGACCTGCTCTATGGTATTTCCAGAAAATGTATTTGGAATTCGTTTTAAAATGTGTTATGTGTTTTTGATCATTTCTTATGTTTCGTTCCAGTATGTATGTACTCCTGTCACATAACAATTCTAACCAAGTGATCCACAGGATTGCACTGTGCAAGTAGGGTCCTCCATGAGTTTTTATTTATTTATTTATTTATTTATTTATTTTTGCCCCTTAAGAATTACTCAATATATATTCCCTTCATGCACGTGGTCTAACCCCTGGAAAATGAAATGCTGATAATATGTCTTGGGAAAAGTAGCTAAAGTTCTGATTCAAGTTCTTTTTCATATGTTATAAAATTCAAGCATGTGTATGATCTTTTTTGTTTACTTTCTTCTTTCTAAAGTATCTTAAAACATTGTGCTGGCAAGATTGTTAATTCCTCTGAACTGTGTGCTTGTTCTTTTCCTCTGAATTGTGGTTGATTAATTGAACATTTTTGGTGATCTTGATCTTTTTGCATTTGCACATACTGTCTGTACCTTGTCCAATGTACATTTTTTCAATCTATCTGTAATGTTCAAGTTTCATTTAACAGCTAGTAGGTAATGAGTGCTTGGCCGCTGATTTGATGTTTCTACTCCATTTTATTTT